CCCTCTGAGGGATTACCTGAGTTCATCCTGCTGCAGAAATTACAGCAGGAGGAAACGATTAGGGCGGCGGATCACTGAAGCGTCAGGATTGGCTGCGTCTTCTGTCAGAAAAATGTTGGGTCCAAAAGGGTGTAGCGAGAGCGCACCTCGACAGACACATCCGTTACATGTGAGAGAAGCTATAGCTGCTGTTATCGAGCAGAATGTCACACAGCCCACTTCCACTGAAGCTGAGGCAGTCAGGTGTCACAAGGAGCCAAATTAGTTTCAGTCAGGACAGAAATGTGCAACTTTACGCTCGCGTGAGCTGATGTCACTTCCTGTTCTGCTGCAGGAAAATGTTATGAAGAACAAAAGTTTCTCATGGCAGCTTTTTACCCATTGGTCTGATGACAGAGTGATGGATTTATTTTCAATCAGAGGGTTTTACTGTCAGTTAAATAAGCAGCAAGTGAAACTAAACGAAGATGGTGAATTTCACTCCGAGCTCTGACTTTACCTCACTGTGAGCAACATGTTTAAATGAAGCACAGACGTGTTTGTGAGCAACTGTTCTGCACATCTCTACGGATTAGTGAGTGAGAAAAAAAGGCAAACTTATTTATTTATTTTTGCAGCGACTCTGCTGTGACTCATCTTCAGCAGAATGAGAATAATCAGGGTGATGCTGAAGGCAAACCTCAGGAGCTAAAGAGACACAGGTGTTGGTGGAGGTGGAGGAAACTGAAACTGCACAATTGTGATTCTGTTGGTAATTTATTAAGAACAGCTGGAGACAAAGCTGTTGTCCTGAAAATATTGTTTTAATAAGAGGTTCTTAATTTCTGTGTATTGTTATTTGAATTGATATAATCCCAACTGGCCAGATATTTCAGTATCTGCAACGAGTCACAAGTTCTGGGTTGAAGAGAAGGTCTCTCAGTTTGCAGAGCAGCTCTTCAAAGCAGAGCTGCAGATTCTGTAAATGTTACGTCCCCTGCAGAGAAGACGATGTACAATAGAT